TGGATTGGAACAAAGTCAGCCCCTCTACTGTACACCGCTTTTTTTTTTTAAGAAAAAAACTCCCGCGGAGCTGGCGGAGAAGTTACGTTGGGGGGAGGAAAAAAAACACACGAAAAGGCCGAAGCGGCGACGTAAACAGGCTCGGGGGAGGGGGGGGGGGGAGGGAAGAGAAGAAGGGGAGATCAATATCTCGATTTCTTCGGGTCTAAAGCAGAAAGAGCGAAGGATCCACCTTCCCCCGAGTGTCTCCGGTTTGAAGCTCTGCCTCCTGCCCGGATCGCCGTTTCCGTGTTCAGCGTCCTTTTTCCAGCCGCGAAGCTGCTCGGGGAGGCATTTGGAAAAACTTCTGAACTTTTGAGCATCCGTCACCAAGGCGAGGACTTTTTTACGCACTCGCAGGATTCTTTCTCTTTTTTTAAAAAAAACTTTTTCTTTCCAGGCGGCGAAGCCTCGCCCCGCCCCTCTCGCTCAGCCAATGAGGCGAAGCAGAGGCGAGCTCGGAAAGGGAGGGGGCGGAGAGGGAGCAGGCGAGCGCGCGGAAGCTGTCCCCGCGGCCGGAGGAGGCGCAGCGGCAGAGGCGGGGATGGATCGTTCTGGGACTGGCCTCGCACACGCACACTCGTCTGACCCTCCCCCCACTCCGACAAGCCTCGCCCCGCCCCTCTCGCTCAGCCAATGAGGCGAAGCAGAGGCGAGCTCGGAAAGGGAGGGGGCGGAGAGGGAGCAGGCGAGCGCGCGGAAGCTGTCCCCGCGGCCGGAGGAGGCGCAGCGGCAGAGGCGGGGATGGATCGTTCTGGGACTGGCCTCGCACACGCACACTCGTCTGACCCTCCCCCCACTCCGACCCGACCCATCCATCCCCCCCCGCACTTATATATAGCTTCTCCTCCCCACGGCCCACGTCCACTCCTTCCTTTGCGCAGGAGGAGGCGGATCAAATTACTCGCTGCTCGCTGCAGGAGGAAAGCTCGCCCGCGCACACGCACGCATTCCTGGCCAGTCATCCGTCGGGCAGGCGGAGGCCGTTGCACGGCGCGGTGCGGGCTCCCAACACGCACGCTGCCTGGGTGTTCCCCCCCCCCGCGCC